CTCCACACACACACACACACACACACACACACACACACACACACACACACACACACACACACACACACACACACACACACACACACACACACACACACACACACACACACACACACACCTCTTTGGCAGGCCTCATATATCACATCGACCGTCAACAAGACTTTGCCACCAGCAAATCAGCTGCAGAGGAGGCAACACAAGTAGTTAGTGTAGTTAATCACACAAGATCATTCTTTTCAAATGTTCCCAAGGTTTTGAAATGCTGACAGCTGCTTCTTACGTCTCCTGAAGGTATGTGTAGTTTTATTTCAACTTGTTTATTATCTTTCTCTTGCTTTCGAGGAGTGAACAAGGCTCCTCAAACATTTTCCTGTCACTACATAACACACTTTTGATTTGATTTTCTGATGTGTTGGCGAAGTTTGCTGATTTTGTCAAAATATGTTTATATTTAATTCTAAAATGGAGCACATTTCTCTACACCCATTTTCCCCAGGATAAATAAAAAGTCCTGACTCTGATTTGAGAGCCAGCTGCAGCACAACAAGTTGAAACTCACGTTAGAGTTTGCTCGTGTGGTTACGAGTGATGTAATATCTCTTTCTCTGTGTCTTTTTCTCACAGGTAGTTTAAAGCATCAAGGTCGGAAAAACAGAAACACCTCCTCCTTTGGTTCCTCCTCCTCTTATCTTTACTCTGGTGAAAAAGGGGCAGTGCGAGGAAAGGAGGTTTTAAAGCGCGAACAGAAGCCCTCAGATATCACCTATTAAACTGTTTACTGGAGGTTGTTTGGATATTTGAGCGTGAAAAGCTGCAGCCATGTCTCCTTTCCTGCGGATTGGGTTCTCCAAGTTTGAGATGGATCCGGGCCTGGCCTACCATGAGGAGGTGCTGAACCCGTACTGTGCCGTTTACATGAAGGAGGCCATCGACACAGGTGAGGGACTGCTGGGTTGATTTCCATTTTGAGGAATATATAAGCTATGTGTGACGTAAACAATAAAACATTGGGTTGTTAGATATGTGGCTCTTGCTCATCAGTTTTTAACCTCTGGGTCAAACGTAAAAGCTTTTTGTACATTAACGTGAAAGTCGGGCTGCCTATAACAGATTGATTCAACTTTAATTCCAGCTCATGAAAGCTGAAACATTTGCACCGTATGTTCACTGGCTCTTTCTCTGACAAACATGAATTCCCCTTCAACTCATTTAATGTCCAGTAAGCACTTGGGTGTTTTGGATCAATATAAAAATGTTGAAGTACTATTTTAGACTATAACAATGCAAAATGTGGCATAAGGCAAAGTATGACGCTTTTCAAAATCATTCATCCCTTCTGCACTCAAACTTTTAAATTCTTGAAAGGCTTTTAACTTGATTATTTATTTATTTATTATTGTGATGCTATGAACTATTTATAGTGTAAATTGGAATTATCCACATCTGTGCTCCCGGGTGTATCTGTGTGTTTTCTTCTTGTATGTTCCTGCCTGTGCACATGACATAAGCTGCTGCTCATAACCAATTGCCCCTTGCGGGATTAATAAAGTTTTTGATTGATTGATTGACAGGATTCTCATTGATAGTCTCTGGACAATCAGCTTTTTCACTTTCAGTTTGTTTTTTGTAAATGTCGCTTATAAGCCCCTAAAGCTGAGTACGTTTACATTTGTATAGATATATATAATGTAACACTAGGAGATGTGAGGTATAGGATGGCAGGCTCAAAGAGATAAAGATAGAACTGGAAAGGCGTGTGTCTGCATACATCTTTTAAAAGTTCATTAATTTTTCAATATCTTCATTGCAGTTGTTGAATGTCACATCTTTGGGAAACTTCCCAGGGTGATAACAGACTCGGAGCAGATATCTTTGTTCTGCGTTCGGTTATCTTTATCCGCAGGGGAATATGAGTGCATTATAGAGCTAAAAACAGAGAGGGAGGAAAGAGGAGGGCTCGGATGTTTCTTATCCTCCCTGAAACCACAAGACTGAGCCCAGAGAGGCCCGGTTAATATTCTACACACTACTCTCTCACTGCAGGGACCATTCATCTTACTTTCATGTCACACTAAGTTAGATACACATCTGTTTACATGCCTGAATGACACATGAGCAAGCAATACAACTTAAAGGGGGAAATATGGAATAACCTGATACTGCTCATTTACTTCAAAACGGCCATAATAATGTAAACGTGAGCTACATTTAGGTGAAAATGTACTATCAATTATTGTTGAACATGATTATTGATGCTATAGTGAACTCATATATGTTACTGTTATAGCTGGTAAACTGAAAGATGTTTCTACTTTATATGTTGTGAGTATCTTAACCTAAAGTGTATTCATATATCATAATGTATTAGTTGATCAAACATATACTATTTGCCTCCAAAATGTAGTGCAGAAGAAGTATAGAGTAGCATCAAATGGAAACACTCAGGTGAAGTACAGGAACAGAAAAACTGTTCAAATCGCACAGGCAGGCCAAAAAGACACACACACACACACACACAAATAGTTTTTCCCATCAGGCACTGCGGCTGATTCATCTTCAAATAAAAGTGATGGAAGACTTAGATAAACAGATTTTGCTATGAAGTCAAGTACAAAGTAAAGATTGTTTGAGGCGCTTTATATTTTTCTGGACCAAATTCAGACTGCAACATTCAAAACGATCATGGGGTTGTTTTTAAGGCAAGTGTCATAATTAGCAGTTAGCACTTTCTAACTTGTCTGCTTTTTTTAATCCAGTTTAATGAACATTGTTTAAGTTTATATAGATTGTTGTTTATATTGAATATTACAAATATTCATTTCTTCAATGTTTACTCTTAAATGAAATAGCGTATATGAAATCACATTTATAGAAATCAAGTCAATCTTGTTGTAGGGTTTTACTACAACAAGCCTTGGTTTAGTTGTTCTTAAGGGGGTCTTGTAATGCCAAGTGTACTTCACTCATAATACCACAAGCTTGGTAATTCTCCCTTATGAGGATTAAGGATTTTGCGTAAATTCTATTTATACCAGTTTTGAAAGGCAGAAGCAATAACTTTAAATGTATACGGTTTAACGTCTCCAATAAACATACTTTATCAAACACAAACAGATCATAGATCATCTGCTAAAAATCTGTCTTTCCTTTATAAATTGTGTGGTGTCGTTGAAAAATGTAAACTCTTTTAAGGCAGCAAAGACCTGAGAGCACACTTCAACCTAAATGCTATTGTTGCACGTTTTCACAGAAAAACACAGGAACTGTCTAACACCAGAACATGTCACCCCTCTTTTTGCCGCGAGGTAACTTTCTTTGAAGCTGGTGTAGACTATGTGAGAAAACACGGTGTGCTTTCATCAGACGGCAGCTGGCGATGAGCCGATGATGGAGAAGGCTGCAGATCACTTTAGGGGTAGAAAGTTTAGCAGGCTTTACTTTGGAGGCAGCAGCATGGCATGTGGCCGTTATGCAAGTGGATATATGTGATGATATTGCAGAGGAAAAATCAGCAGATGTCAATTATTTCCTGGTATATTACCAGAAGTGTTTAGGCCATGTGATATGATTTAATCCCTCAAAACTGTGACGCTATAATCATAAAGGGCTGCGAAATGTTTACATGGTGTATCTATGGCTGCACCATGTGGACAAAATAACTTCATTGGGATCATTTTGACTGATATTGTGATAACGATACAGGACATATTAACCCATTGTTCTAATTATAATGATCAAATATAGTCAAATGATTATGTACTGCAAACAAAATGTGTTACCCATTATGACACTTTGCATAAGATTACCATATTTGAATGGAAAGAAATCATATTTATCTGCTTTTAAATGACATATGATCTAATCCCCAGAGATTGAAACACTGTACATTCATCCGTTTTCCCAGGGATTAATTCCTGGTGTTGGTTTTCCATCACTGGCAGGAAATCTTCTCCATTTTCTAGATGTTAACATTTCAAATGTTTATGTTAAATCCTTAAAGGATCCGGCAGGAGATATTTTTGTTATTTCCAACCTGTGATTTCAGCCGGAAGCCAATTTGTTCTTTCTGAAGATCTCTAAAAAAAAAGTAATAAATTCATACATTCACTATTTAAAAAAGTGCTTGATAATATTATAAATCAGCATTACCTTGTTTACAGAAGACCTTACTTAAACAGAAATAAGAAAAGGTGATTTTTTTTGGGGGACTATTTTCATTGGCGGATTAATACAAATTGGTTCTCTAGTGATTATGTTGGGCAGCAGGATATGTTTAGCAATTTATTTTTTATTTTTTTATAATTTAATTATCAATTTTTGGATGTTATGTACAGTGTTGTAAGCATTAGGACAAAATAAAAGGCCATTGTGCTGATGAATGGCAAATGTTATTACTAATTAAATCACCTTTACCATGAGGTCAGCATATTTTAAATACTGATTTAAAAAAGGCAAGACACTCTAAAACTCCTGAAGTGAATGACAATTTTTGTAGGACATTTATTTGGTTTTCTTACAGGATTTTTTAGATATTTATTGGAATCAAAGTAACTAAAAAGTGAAAATCTCTAAAATATCTTATCTTTTGTCTGTTATTAACAAAAAGTAAAGAACCTGCCAAATTAACTAGCTTCTTTCTCATTATTCCTTTTTGTTTTTCCAGAGAAGGGCCAAGTGCACAAGCAGAAGAAGCCCACAATGTACCCCCCATGGAGCACCACGTTCGATGCCCACATCCACCCCGGGCGCATCATGCACGTGATGGTGAAGGACCGCACGGCCGAGCTCAAGTCCGAGGCCACCGTGGCTCTGGACTCTCTGGCAACGCGGTGCAAGAAGGAGAATGGCAAGCTGGAGACCTGGGTGAGTGTTCACATTAGCATTTCAATATATATTAACACTCATGGTGTGATCTGAACCAATCAAATATATTTTTACTAAATGTGGTGAATACCGTGTGTGTGTGTGTGTGTGTGTGTGTGTGTGTGTGTGTGTGTGTGTGTGTGTGTGTGTGTGTGTGTGTGTGTGTGTGTGTGTGTGTGGGTTTACTCAATTTCGAGTCAAATGAGCAAATGTTAGAAGTGGTAATCCGTCTTTTATTCATTAAAAAAATGAACAAATGGGCTTTTTTAAACTACATTCATTATGCGTTTTATGAAAAGTAATACCAGGAAAAGCATAAGCAAAAATAATAAAATCTCTGATAAGATTAACCTGTGCCTCTCCTCCTATGATGTATTAAATATCTGCAGTTAAAGAAGTCTATGTTGTACCCTTGAATGGGATTTTATAGTGTTGGATCCCTTTAAATGTACAGAATGGGATTAGGTGGGTTTTTTCTTGTGTTGTGTAACAAACTCTGTTTTAGTAATCCCAACTAAATCCTTCTTAGAATACATAACACCACTGTATACCAAGATCTCATGTGTTTAAACTAATACAATAATAATGACAATCCAATAAAAAAGTTAAGGAGGCATTTTCTATTTGGAATGAAAATAATGAGCATGAATTATTAATCCTAGAGCAGTTGTTTCTTAGTTTGGCCTCTTGCAAGGTTAACCACAGAAGCTTTTATTTCAATTATTTAAAACTGTTAATGTGTCTTCCTCCTTTATAGTCCTCCCAAAGTGTCAAACATGCTTTATTTAGATGTTAAAAAGTACATAAATTAGGTGTTTATAGTCTGCAGTTTAAATCCAGCTGGGGATCATTGTTAATTTCCAGTCATCTATCTAATGAGAGCAAAAAGGTCCCAAAAGGCCCTTCTTCCTACTTTAGTCTGGGTAACATCTTTAATTATAAGCACGTTAAGCCGTCCCTGCTAATGTTTATCATCCACTTGTTCCTGGATTTATTTATTTTAAGACTTTGCATCGGGTGGATAAATCAAACCAAACATTCAGATTTCCTCCCCACTCTGGTCCTCTATGTCTGTTTGAGTTAGAATATTACATTGTACGTTTATCGCGTCAACATCCCTCCCTTTTCAATTCACAACATCTAATTCTGTCCTGATATGCTGCTTTTAGTCACATGTTTCTGTTCTTCTTGGATTGGTGTCAGCTGGACCTGAAGCCACAGGGCCGCCTGCTGATGGAGGCCAAATATTATCTGGAGAAAACTGGTGAGTCATTAATACTTATATAACTCCACCTGCTGCCCGTCAAACTACAATATACTGCAACACTCTGGGGTTACCATCATCTGCAACCAAATTCATATTTGTTGAAACGATGAAATCACATTGCTAAACAAAATCAGTCAAACTGAAAGTGAAAATAAAAGATAGTCATCTTAATGCTCGGAAATGATAAAGTTGTAGTGTCAAAAAGGAAATGCTTTTTTAATCCTTAACGTTTGATGATCTGCTGTGGTCTTCAGTTTACTTACATTTTTTTTTAAGCCAAACTATGTATTGCTGAAGTGTCTGAAATATATACAGTTTAATCACTACAAAGTTATTTTAGAAAGTAGACCACACTACCCACATTTTTCTAATTAAAAAGAAGAACCTTTCAGTCCCTGCCCACTGCGTGCGTGTGGTTTAATGGGGCTTTACTGACATTAACCAACCAAATGCTTGAGAAGTCACTGAGAACTAAAGGAAGGACTCATCTCATGTGTTCTAAGAATAGACCGTGCTAATAGGAAATCGCTGCTCAGAACAACAGGTGGTAAGGCAGCTGCTACACAGAGACAATTTCATCTATGGCACTTCCTCCTGAACTCCATAAACACTCAATCATCTAACATGATTGATTATCTTATATTGCACATATTTACATGAGCAGCACATTTTCTTTTATATTAAGATGCAATGAGACTCCTTACAGATTAATAAGATTAAAAGCAGTACATAGCAAATGAGGGGATAAATATTTGCAAAAATTAGCTGATATGTTTCTGCAAAATAATTCAAGAATTGACAAAATGATTATCGATAAAAATGAAAATATCTCTTTAAAATCTAGTGGGTTTAAAAAGGTCTTGAAGAAGAATATTTTTCAAAACAAATGTAAAAAAAGATATGCAATCTCAAACTATTATTGGTACATTAAGTTGTCAAAAACTAATTGTAAAAACTCTTCCCATCTTTTATATTAAACTGCAGCATTTACATCAGTCAGCAACAGAGAAAATGTTTGCATATGAGACGGTTTAAACCAGGAGTGTCAAACTCAAGGCCCGGGGGCCAAATCCGGCCCGCGACTTCATTTTATGTGGCCCCACAAGAGCTTGCAAAGAATATAATATGTTTGTTATACGGTTACATGGCGATTTACAGAAGCACGTTGCCCATAAACTACATGTCCCACAATGCATCTGAAATTACAAATTTTTTCTCAGAATTTGTCCTTTTCTCAGATTTGATTTTTTTTTTTCAAAATGTCACTTTTCATTTAGCTTTTCTTTTAAAAATCATTTTGTGACGTTCTCACTGAAGAGACTTGCAATTATTTGCCCTAGACTTCTGCTTTCAGACCGAGTTAATTATGAAGTTATTACCTTATTTTATATATATTAAATATGTATATTTATAAAGTATTAAAGTTACAACCGGCCCTTTGAGTGCAACCATAATGCTGAAGTGGCCCTCGATGAAATTGAGTTTGACACCCATGCTCTATACTGACATTGCTGGCGTGCTGATCA